AGCCAGACAGTCCTACAAGCAGGCAGGTAGGCAGACATATAGACAGCCAGTCAGTCATCCACAGTCAGACAGTCAGGCAGATAGATAGTCAGACGACAGATAGTCAGACAGACATATATATAATCAGGCAGGCAGGCAGACAAGGTTCTGTCTGGGGTCAGCCTTTGCTTGTGCTCCCAGTCCAGAAAGTCTCTGGTCAGAGACAGAGGTTTCTCTCTCGGAGTGCACTAGTGACCATGAGGGCCCTGGTCGCGGTTAGGGCCACCTCGTCAACGCTGCCACCTTCCTGAATGCTGACCCCAGAGGTCAGTGTGACCAGAGGGCGGAGAAGGAAGCTGCCTGGGGCGGGTGGGCTCCACGCTCTGAGAGGGCGTTAGTTCTTGCTCAGGAGGGTGCTGCCAGGGCCAAGCTCCTGGTGACACCGGGCGCTGCAGTGCTGCGGAGGTGACAGGGCTCCAGAAACTCGCCTGGCCTTGCTGGGGACGCTGGGGTCCTGGGCCAGCACGTGCGCTCCCAAGGAGACGGACAAGGGTGGTGGACACACCAGGAGTTGCCGGCTGCCCGTGCAGTGCACAAGTTTGATGGCACAGGACACCACATGCAGGGCCCTGCTACCGCGGGAAATGCTAGGACTTGGTCAGCATGAGATGCATGGGGCCACAGTGCGGTGGAGGAGGAGGGGGAGGGAGCCGTGGGGACAGCGGGGATGACCCTCCATCACCTCTTCAGACACTGCTCTCTCTGGGGGTCACCAGGGAGACCGTGGCCCAGGGCTTGGGATCTTTCCTGCCACAAGCTGGCTTCAGAATCAGAGCGGGGCAGCTTCCTGCGCAGGCTGTACCTAGCAATCACGCGGCCCCTTGAGCATGCGACAGGCGGCGGCGGCCCCACAGTGGTGAATGCATAGGTGAGGGACCCACGGCCTCCAGCCCACCCCACCTCAGTGGCCAGGACGGCATGTGGCGACAACCAGGGGCCACTGGGCCAGCAGAAGCAGAGCTCCTGTCGCGTGGAGGACGGTGGCATTTTGCTCCGGTTGCACGTTGAGAGGCCCCTCAGATGTGCGAACGGGAGCGGAGGTCGAGAGCCAGGCAGGGCGCTAGGGCGAGCCGGTGTGCCTCCCAGGGCTGGTGGTCTGAGGTCGCCCAGCAAGCCCAGTGAGCTGGGGGAGGGAGGGAAACGAGGAGCTGACACCAGGGGCTCAAGCAGAAAGCAAACGTTTTGAGAACGACGATGGCAACAAATGAACAAATGTGCTTGACACAATGGATGGATGGACGGATTGTGATAAGAGTTGTACGAGCCCCCAATAAAATGATAACAATAAAAAAAGAAAGCTCAGCGAGGCAGAGTGCTGTCCCCACCCCCGCACGCTGACTGGTTGGTGTCGGAACCTGCTTGGTAGCCACCGTTCTGTTGGGTTCAGGATGCGCATGGGTCCAGTGTATGTGCTGAGCATCAGACTGAAGGCCAGGCCTGTGTCCACTTGGCTGGGCGGGGACCCTTAGTAGTTTGGACCTAACCTACTGGAATAATCCTAGGCTGTCCTGGGTCGCAGGGTCAGCCCGCCCTCAGGTCAAAGCTGACGCATCTGCTTGGAGAAGCGACCTGTTTCGATTCTGCAGACGCTCTGTGGAGACCTTGCTCTCTCTCCTTGCTGGGCTGCGGCCTGCCCCTGCTGCACCGGCCTCCAGGCCTTCGGACGTGAGCCAGCAGCCTGCCACGTTGCCTGGAGATCCAGGGAGCTGTCACGGGCAGCCGGGAGATCAGCTCCTCCTGTGGGACTGCCTCTGCACCCACCAGCCATGGTCTTCCTCCTGCCCCTGAGCTTCTGGGCAGGCAGGCCAATCTGGAAAAAACCTCCAGCTTTACCTTCTGGCGCATGGGTTGGGATCGAATGGGACTTAACCCCTTCTACTGCGGTGCCACCCATGTTTCTTGATGTGAACCTCTATCTTTGCATAGACGGAGGGGTCACTGCCCATGTTTCCCTGGAGAACCCCACACTCAATAGTGTTTATGGATGTGAACATGTGTGTGGGTATACAGACATGGATGCACCTGTATGTATTTGTGTGCGCGTATATGTATGTGTGTACACTGTATGTGTGTATGCAAGTGTATGTGTGAATGTGTACATGTTCATATGGATGCATCTGCGTATATTTGTGTGCACATACATGTATGTGTGCACAATGTGTGTGTGTATGCAAGTGTATGTGTGAATGTGCATATGTGCCTATGTGTACATGTTCGTATATGTGCATGTACATTTGCATGTGCATGATGTGCACATGTTTGCTTGTGTGCATGTGAATACATGTGAGTGTTTGTAATTCTGTGTATATCTGACAGTGCATGTAAATACGTGTGTGCATTTAAAGGTATACATACACACATGTGTGCACGTGTGTGCTAAATTGAGCCCTCGCCTATGTTGCCCCACAGAAGCTGGGATTTCCTGTTGCTCAGCCTGCGATCCCCATGTTAGTGCAAGCACATTTTATACCACGCTTTGCAAACATTGAATTTCTGACAGTAGAATGTGATAGCCTGATTGTGAAGATTCAGAAATGAGAGGAGGATTTAGCAAAGTAAATAAAGGGTCCCCGGGGCCCTGCGTGCCGAGATGCCGCCTCCTCGTCATGTGTGCATACGAAGCAGCCAGCTGAGAGAAGTCCTCTCAGTGAGACCACCCCATACCTTGCCCCGCCCCTGCCTTGTGCCCCGCCCCAGCCCCGTCCCTGCACCCCACACCACTCCCTCCCCACATCCCTCTCCGCCCCTGTAGGCCACCCCTCCTGGGCTTCTCACTGGCCGTTTTCCAGGTGCTTCCGCCAACGAGAGACCCCCTCAGGAGTCCAGGTGGGCAGAGGAACAAGGGCAGGGTGTTTCTTCTGCCCCCTCCCTGCTCTGGAAGATTGTGGGCGCAGGCTCTGGGGGAAGCCCTGCTCACATCAGGTCCCCAGCACTGCTGCCCCGGCCCACCACACCTGGGGCTGTTGGTGCTGTGACCTGTCCCTGAGCTGATGCCAGCTCATGGAGTGGAACCATGCCACGGGCTTCCTCAGCTGGAGGCCTACAGAAGTGGCCGCCGGTTGGTGGACGGGACCTTCCTGCCCCGGCCTCACCATCCTTGCTGGGCTTCATCCACTGCGTCAGTCCACTTTGCTGAGGGCTTTTATCTGCCTGTGTGCCAGTTACTCGTCTCCTGTCAACTTGTGAAGGGGTGGAGTCTAGCCCGTCAATCAGGTCTGTGAGAGAATGGCCTCCTGGGGATTCTGGGAAGTCCTGTCTTCCTCCCTGGAGGCGGGACTCACACTGTCCCCCTGTGAGACATTCCTGTTGACAAGCGACATGGAGCTCTGCCGATGGAACCAGAGCTCTGGAGCTGGAGGAGCCACATGGGACCCATGCCAGCGCTGAGGTGCTTCCACTGCCACTGGATCCACAAGACTTCCCACCCACTGGCTGGTGATCTTCCTGCATTCAGTGTCATTGCATGTGCTTTGTGAGTCTGAAGAGGAATTTACAGACTGGTATCGGACATATGGGCTAATATTGGACTTATGGACTTGATCTGGACCGGGCTGGGATGCTTTCTTAATATACAATTACTCTTTGATATAAAGCTCTTTCTCATACACATGAGTGTCTCTGGATTTGTTTCTCTAGTCTACCCAGATTCACACAGCTGCCTCCAAAAATCAAAATCCAGGCCAAGCTCACTGCCATGAGTCA